TGACACAGTCACTACACCTGACAGTGATTACTTCGGAAACGTTTGGAAACATTGTGACGTTATAGGCACTATACCAAATGCAGTAATGAGTACAATAAAAATAACTAGGTACAGCTAACCTATGCTGCTTTCTGGAGCATTCCGAGTCTAAGAGGAGTTTAAGTCTTCTTTCAAACCAGCCTGTGAAACCTGCAGAGGTCATGTATACAAGTGATGATTTGACAAGCTCGGGCTCTTCAGTCTTAAGAAAAGACATCTCAGAGGGGACTTCATATGAAATTTAAATGGGATTGAAAAAGTAAACCCAAAACAATATTTGGATGCACCAAGGTAGATAGGGTTAGAGTTGCAAAGGGCAATTTTAGCACAGACACAAGAACATTTTTATTTAGTCAGAAAGTAATGAACGACTAGAATAGGTTACCAGGAAAGTTGAAGCCAGGACACATTAAAAAATAATGGAAACCAGACAGAAACATGCAGGGAGAAATTTCCCGGTCTAGATTTATTTTATTAATGTAATAGTTCAGAGTGCCCAGGATTTAGCAAATTCTTAAATGCACCCTTCATTTTGAAGCTGTTTCTCTGTAAGTTCCCTTTATGATGAGCTGCATTTAAAAAGTGGCGTGGTGCTGTGTTGGGGGGACAGAAGGCGGGGTTGGGGATTCTGGAGGAATGAGATCAGATGCATGAATGAAGGGACTTCTTCATGCAAACCAATCTTGTGATCGTGTGATCTTGTGACAAGCTTACCAGGTCTTATGGTAGTCATATGGAATACGTTATCTAGAAAAAAAACAGAAGTCAGCAGGTCAGGCAGCATCTATGGAGAAAGGAAAGTGAGTCAATGTTTCAGGTCCACGACCCTTCGTCAGAACTTCAGAGACATTTCAAAGCGATCTCCTGTATCTTTGATCCCTTTCTCACAAAATGGTTTGGGACAGAAATAGAATCAAAGAATGTTACAGCTAATAACAGGGGTGTGGAATGTCCTGCCGAGTAAGGTGGTAAAGGTAATGAGTTTCAAGAAGGAAATAAGCAGGGCAATGGGATTAAATGAACACCTTACTTTGTGAGATGGTGCAGACTCGATGAGCTGAATAGAATTATTAATTTCTATGATTCTATGAACTTTCAGTCTATCTATCCTGTGTTGGTGCTTTTCTCCACCATGAACCACTGAATCTAATATCATCTCCTTCATCTTACATTGCTCTGGATCCACGGATACAGGGGAGCTCTGGCAGTGCAGCTACTCTCACAAATGTATTTGTTGCCGTTTCTCCACATTATCTGGAAATACTGACTTCCTTGAGCCACGAGGGAGTGGGACAGCAGGAGAGGGATGGTATTAGGTGATTTGGTGAGGAGAACCTTGGAATATCATTGCAGCATATGCTGACATGTGAGTTATATATGATGACATTATTCCCTCAACCTTGTGGTTACCAGACACATGCTGATGGTAACCAGTTGTCAAAAATTCTAGGAATAGACAATATGAGATCATCGTAAAACTGGCAGTCTTGCAAAATATCACAAAAAGCATTAATGAAAAAGTAATTTCTTGAATGTGGCTAAATTCACGAAGTGAAACCTAAATTTTCAAGTATTTAACAGATCTTTTGTTGGGGAGAAATTTACAGCAAGATCTACTTTTAGTATTTTACATCATATAGAATTTAATAATACTACTAATAGTAATCCTTGCATTTGATATAGTGCCTTATCATGTTGTTGAGACATCTTAAAGCGCTTTACAGGATGTACTGTGAAGTGAATTGACTCTTATTTTGTGGATGAAAATTGGCAAATTGTTGCAAATTAGTCTTAACTTTGAAACCTGTTTTCTGTAGTTCATGAAAGAAACCTACAGAAAAAATGGTTTCGAAATGAAGGGAGGATTTAAGAATGTGCCAAATTCTGGGCACTCTGAAATGCTGCATTAATAAAGTAAATCTAGGCTGGGAAATTCCTCCCTGCATGTCTCTGTCTGGTTTTCATTAATTGTTAATCCTGCCAGAGCTAAGACCTTATTTTTGTTTCAATAACTATATGTTGAAGCACTTTTAGCCTTGCATTAGTTTTTGTTATTTTAGATTACAAATCCAGCAGGTTGTTCTGGTTTTAATATTATTTTGCTTTGCTAGTTTTCCAAAAGAAATGCTTGTAACCGAGAACTTGTGAATCATGGTATAACCAAAATAGTATTGAAACTGAAGTCACAGCAACTGAACTGCTCAACAGATTGTGGCTAACCAGTTTAGAAATGGGATTATCAGAGCCGCAATTTCACATATTTGCATACCGCAGATTTGCTGAATCATTCGATTAACTATTTTGACGTGTTATCTGATTAAAAGTCTCACCCCCAACAATGATCATAAGAGAGGTTCAGATGAAGAAAGCCTTTCTGACCATTTTATCTCATCTGGCAGAATAGGAAGTTTGTGGAGTCCTGAAGCTTTAGTGGTTAGAGCACTCGCCTCGCAAGCGAGAGGACTTGGGTTTGATTCCCGGGCAGGGCGAAACGTTGGCCAAGTTTCCTTACTCCACATGCTTCTGTTTACCTAGCAGTAAGTAGGAACCTGGTTGTTAGTCGATTGGTGGATCACTTTTCTGGGGGTAATTATCCCTTAAACAAAATAATAACAATAATAATTTGGTCACTCAATCCACGACTGTTTGTGGGACACTGCTGAGCGCAATTGGCTGCTGCGTTTCACCCACAAAATATACAGGATTATTATAAGGATTATTATGATTATAACACTGAATCTGAAGCCAAGGTGGCACAATAAGCTGAATGGTGAGTAATGATACACGTGATTATTGTGAAAGGCCATGATACATATTTGGCATAAGTTGAGGCTGTTTCCACTAAAACCTTGTGGATTGCAACACATGAGTCTGCATTTCTTAAAAATTCACTTGCTGTCATTTCCATTAAACACGTCATGATGCATTGAATGAGTAAGTGAAATGAGAAGAGTCCTGCGGGCAGCCAGGCTTCATTCACAACATTTAATTTACTCTCCCCCCATTATAGTATTGTGTTTTGTTTCATGTATCTTCTGTCTATGCATCTCTCTCAAATAGTGCAGTGGTTAAAGGCAGCAACAACAACTTGCATTTATATAGTACCCTTCACGCAATGGTAGCATCTCTGCGTGCTGAAGGTACTGCACAATGCTGCATTGAGAGCAGTAGTTTGCAGTTTCAGATGCCACTTTCTGTTGAGTCAACCAATCGAGTCAGTATTAGATCACATTAAGAAAGCCCTTTGACCCATTTCATTTCATCCTTCCAGAATTACCATCTAATCATTTTCCTATTATAGCATCAAACTGTTTGTTAACTGAATCAATCCAGCATCCTGAACTTAACCACCCTTCCTGTTAACCTGGTGACATGAAGTGCAATCGGTCAGATGAGATGTTAAAACAGGTCCTGTCTGGCTGTTGAGTTGGTTATTAAAGACCCAACGAACTATTCGAAAAGAGAAGGGACTTTCTCTCTCTTGGTGTCCTTGCCAACAATTCCTCAAATAAAATTCCTCATTCACTTCATGATTGTTTGTGACAACATTGCTGTGCACAAATTGGCCTTACAGTATATCCAGTGAAGCACTTTGGGATGCCCTCGCAGTGTTTAAGCCGCTACACCAAATGTAAGGATTATTATCATTATTGTAACCTGTTCTAGCTCTTAATGCTCTCTGTGTAAATAAGGGTCAATACAGTTGACCTGAGTATCCCTGGGGTTGGGAAAAAGAATTCCCACCACTCATCACCACCGAAACAGCAACCCTGGATTTCAAGTGAGAACAGGATTGAGTTTGGTGGTGATGTCCTGTGAACACTCGCTGTCAGAAGTCACAACTTTAAAGACTGACCACTTGGACAAGGTACTAGAGGTCACCTATGAACTCTGCTTTGAGAAAACAGTCTACGTGCTTGGCAGAAGAAGAGAGGAGGAAATGGTTGTTTACGATCAGCCATAAAGAGCATACAGCGATCCAAAGTGTACATTTTAAAAAGAAGTGTGATATCAGTCCTCAGCTCCGCTCTTCAGTTGACATTGATCTGACGAGCAGGAAATGCACACTGCTGTGTGAGCTGTATCCACGCAGAGCCAGTCAACTCATAGAAACCGACCGGAGTTTCTGTCCACCTAGTGGCAGGCTAAGGATAAACCTGGTTTTGCCCCAGAAGCAGCAGCAACCTGGTCAAGGCTATCTGCATTGAGAATCCTTATTCAATGAGTAGTGTTCTGCAAGATCAGTGCCTTAGAATGTGGTTGAAAATACTGGCATCTTGCTTGTTTATTTCTAACCAGTGTGTGATGCAGGCACAACTAGTCATTTGGACACAAAAGCAAACAACCAGGACACAGAAATATAAAGTCACTGCATTTATTTATTTGGCTTTTTTACAACAAAGCATTGAGAGTGACAAATTTATTACAACAATCCCCAGTTTCTGAGCGCATTATATTTACATTCCGTGGCAACAGAACTGTAACTCTTAGTTTACAAAAAGAACGCTTTAGGTAAAGTTGTACAAAACGTTTCTCAATAATACAATCCACTGCTTCATAACGCTTAGGCAAGTATACAAAAATAAATGCTTCTTCATTTGCAAGGAATCTCGCAGATTTGTCCTTTAACATAAAGTTCAAACCTTTCCCACGACATTCGTACTCATTACAAATTGCAGCTAACTGATACCATCCAGTGGCCAAATAATGTACTCCACTTGTTGGCACTTCCAAATAAAATTTACCAGAATACTGTAGTTAGAGAACGTACCCAGCAATTAATGAGAAGAGGTCGTTTCGGCCAATAAAGTCTCTTTCCTTCTAGAGCCCACTATAATGCCATAGTCATCACTCTATCTTCTGGGGGAGTTGGCTCACAGAATATACAATTCACTTTGGAGTATATCTTGTGAAGCGTTTTGAGACATCGTGACAATGTGATAAGGCGTGAATATCAAATGTAAGGATTATTACGTAGATGCTTTCTGATTCTCCTCCCCCCCTCCACCCCAACAGTCACTCCCACACCAGCCTGTCAATGACGGTGGCCTTAACCCTTCTGGGAATTTTCCCCTTTCGACAAGGATGAATTACTCTGTGTTCATCACAAGGAGGACTTGAGTGCTGTGTAAATAGAACACTTTACATCAGTGCCAACCCACAAACAATATTGAGGAGCAGGTCTGAGTGTGAACATCAGAGGAACCTTCACCCCTCTTTCATTTCTTACCCAGTTAACCGCTCAACTAGTGCTTCATGTTGCTGATGGACATTTTGGGGTGATCCCAGCTGTGCAGTACGTGTGCTCTCTCAGTACTTGTTCTCTCCCAGCCTGGATTGACTGGGGGGTTTGGGGGGATGGAGGGTAGAAGGGAAAGAAGAGGGGCAAACTTTTCTTTTAATAGATCGAATTATCATGAGACTGGGAAAAGATGAGACATCGGCAATGGGAAAATGGCCAAATCTCACGTTCCCATCCTGAAAGCTTTGGGAGCAGCCACATGCTACCCAAATCACATTGGTGAAACTCTCACCTTCAAAATTACCATTGAGAAATCAACATGCATTGTACCTTCTCCAACCAGAGTCTGGAAGAGACGTTCCCAGGGCAACCGGAGCACAGCTGCTCCTTCTGCTCTACCATGGTCTGACCATCTCTTCCCCCACTCTGTCTCAGCAGAGCAGCCCCTCCAGCACCAATCTGGCTTACACCCATTTCCATCCATTTGTCCTCAACCCACTATCCAATAAGTCCTTCGAACATAAAGCACTTCTTTCATGAAACCGATGCTCCCATTTATCGGAGATTGTCCATCGGAGAATGGGTTTGTAGATTTGGAAAGGACCGAGAACGTCAGCCCCTTTTGCTTATGCCCAAGAACTGGCAGTGACAGCACTTGACCGATTGGCTGGTGATTTGCGGTGCGAGTACAGTTCAGAAGGAGCGTGCTTTCCTTTCACCAGATCGGCGCAGTAGTTGAGCAGCGAGGCTTTGGCACACTTCTCGTGAGTCTTATTTTCCGCCAGGGCCACACGGTCAAAGCACTGCGAGTGAGAGCTTGTGAGTGGACGGTCTTCCCTGGGACAAGAGTCCCTGGGGGAACGGTGCTGGGTGCCTTGCTGGCTGCTGACTTGGTGGTTCTCTTTGCACGACTCCCCGAAAAGCCAAGCAAAGGGGTCAACGTTACTAGCCGGCCCCTGAGCCCCGTGCTGCCTGTCCACTCCAATGGCGATCGTGTCCACAGACAAGCCCCCCGTCCCGCTCGGTAACCGCTTTCCCTTGTTGCTGCTCCTCAGCGAGCTGACGGGAGAGGCAGGGTCGGACTGGTGCCTGCGGTTGACTTTCAGCTTCGGGGACCTGTGAGCTGAGCCGGGGGTTCTGGAGGCTATCTCGCACAGGAAGGTGGGCTGGGCAAGATGGCAGATTGACCTCAAGTAGTCGTCTTGGGTTTGGGGAGTGAAGGACTCGCTGGCCCGTTCTTTTTCCTTCCTGCGAGAGGGATCGTGCTGATACAACTCATCAAAGGTTTCGAAGATTGTAGGCATCTGGTCCACCAGAAGCAGCTGTTTCATCTTCATGTCCTGGCTGAAAATACAAAGAGCAAGTCAGTTAGTTAATCTGTAACAAACCACAGCTAGTTGTCAGGTTTACCAGCTCGGAGCCCTCTCGCCTCTGAGTTAGAAGGTTGTGGTTTCGAGCCCCACGTTGGGAAATGGCTTCTGCGAAACAAGTAAACGCTTCAGAGAACCTGTGCCACTAAATTCCCACCAACAGTGATCTGGTGATTGATACTATGACTGGCACAATGCACTTTGCCAGTAATGAATGGTGTCATCTTGCACTCAGAGGAGTTGGTGTAAGCACACTGGTAATAATGGAGGCAACTTTATTATTACAATAATAATCCTTGCATTTTATACAACACCTTAACACATCGTCGCGACATCTCAAAATACTTCACAGAATTTACTGTGAAGTGGATTTTACTGTATATTTTGTGGGTGAAATGCGGCAGCCAATTGAACGGATCCAACAGCAATAAATTGCATTTGTATAGCGCCTTTCATGTCAGGTGGAGAGGTCTGGATTGTGATCATGTATCACAACACTGCCTGGTGTTTAGCCCAGGCTTCTTGATGACAGCTGTTAGTCTCTAAACTGCTGTCCTCGAGTGTCTAAAACCTATTCAGCGACTATGCGATTGAAAGGCACAGAGTGCTTTCCCATTCTGTTCCCTGCAGTTCCTTGTTTCACCCGCTCTAGGTCCGTGTTTTTGCTGTTGCTGCTTCTGCCTGTCTTGTATTAATAAAGACTGGGGCTGTTGTATGGATTTGGGAAGCAGAAGCAGAGATTGGCAGCATCACTTGTGCCACCTGTATAGCAGGCATTGCTACCTGCTGGGAACTCGCAGTGTCAATGAAGCAAGCAGCTCCACTGAATCCTAATCACACCACTTGGCTTAAACCCTCAGATTCCAATCCCCTTAACTCTTCAACTCCCGAATCCTCTGATCAGCGTTCAAGCAATGAGATTGAGACACTTTGCTCGACATTCACCCCTTCATTCCAATCGTCCATCGGCAGAAGCCGAAAACATCAAGCAAAGTGGTGGAACTGGCACGAAAGGGTGACGGCAATTTAGTTGGAAATGTTAATTGGCCTAGCCCAGTGAAGGATAAGAATAGCAATTTCTGTGTAGGGATTATTGTTAATATCTACGTGACCTACTGTCGGGCAGAAAGCTTCCAACTCAGACAGCTTAGAAACCAGAAATGATGGGATCAGCCATTCAGATTCTTAGAACACTTTTGGTTTGGCTTGGCTGTACCTACAGCAAGACATTGCTTTACATTAATTATATACGATTCCTGGCATATGCATACATTGAGGGCATCACAGAGTTTCGCTTGTGAAAAGAAAGGGTATTACCCATTTTCGTGGCATTGCTATTTGGGTTAAGAGACGTGGATTGTAGTCATGTGGATATTGGGAATTTGCCAGGTCTTTTCTGTGAGGGAGCATGTGTGGAAGGTCTGTCGGGGGTGGGACAGGGAGAGATGGATTGAGTCTGTAGTAAGGAAGCCAACATTTCCAGTTGCAGTCCTTCTCCAAACATGGGTGTGCATCACCCAGTTGAGATAGTTCAATTAACCAATAGACTGAACTGTAATCCAGTGGTGATCTCTGTGAGAAGCAGAAGTCCATTAGAATATAACTAGGTCAGAAGGTGACCAAGAGGTGACCTTGCATCAGTTTTGTGTTTCAATGTCGAGCATCAATCATCCACTAATCAGAGGATCAAGCTGCATTAAGCATCTTAATCACAAGAGGTGTCACGGAAGTTGTTGCAGTGCAAGCCATTTATATTTAGTTAGTCACAGATAGATGGCAGTGAGAGACATTTGAATGAATAAGACGGTTTTGTGGAGGGAAACAATGGTGTTGATTCCCCATGAAAATAAGCAGGACCCTAGTCAATGATTATGGAGTTACCACTTGTCTGTTGGAAATGGTACCATGACAGGCAGTGCAAGGATTAATGTCCGTACAGTTGTTAAGAGGGTTACGCCAGACAATGTAAGGGTTTAATGCCAGTTAAATGTTAATAGTCCAAATATATCCAACTACAAACAATGTGTAAGGGTTTAAGGATTTAATACCAGTGCATTGTAAGGGGTTACAGTACAGTGTAAGGGTTAAAGCCTTATCTGCTTTCAAGTGGCCAAATGAGTTTCAGTCAAAAGCTACACTATTGTTAGTTTATATAGAAAAGACATACATAAGAATTCAAGTCACCATGATAAAACTTTCTGCACAAGTGATTTTGAAACTAGCTAGCGAGTAAAAGATATCCCATCAGCGTTAAACAGCTTGGCTGTTTTTCCTTTGGGAAAGAACCTGTCATGTGCTTGGCAGCTTTCCACCAGAGACCAAGGACTTGCATTGTGAGCAATGTCAAGCAGAGGATGCCACACATCAAATCAAGGCTTGAGCTGAAAACCATAATCTGTTTTTCCACTGTGATAATCTACTGAGCTTGTTTCACTCTCTCTTCCACTCCATGGTGTGGCTTGATTTCCTCACCTAAACCCCACCCCACTCACAACCCCCAGATAAACTCTGAAACACGTTCTCCCTGTCCTCGGCTAACATCGCCACAACCAGGCAAGATGAGCGTAAGTTGTGCTGCCATCAGTTGAATGGCAGCCAAGATCAACTTGGTTCTTCCATCTGTCATCCAAATACCCACAGGTCAAACAAATGCCCACAGGTTCTTAGAAAGTGGCGAGAAACAATTAACACATTCTCGAAGACGTGATAAGGTGTTATATCAAATGCAAGGATTATTATTGTTATTAATTGGAAAAGATCCAATCATGTTGAAACCTTTAGAAACCAGAAAAGTCAGCAATAAGACAATGTTGTGTTGCAGAAATGTCAGGCACTCTTGGTTAAACTCAGTTTGTGTCTGGCACATTATTGCCAGTCACATTTAGGGTTAATTTTCAGTTGGGACCCAATTTTCCTTTTGCTGGATTGATTGATGTACAGAAATACACCTGTGTTGCTGCTCAACTGTTGTGTTTGGCAATAACACAGCCAGTGAGCATTCAGTTAGCACTGCACTCTCAGGTTCAATACTGAGCCTTGAGTCTCGTTCTAAAAATAGACTGAATAGTAAATGAGCTGAGCTTCTACAACAGAGAGTATATTAGAAATTTAAATACAGTAAATACAAACTGTGGGTCTATTATACATTGCATTCAGTGTGAAGCACTTGAATATTCCCAATAACAGAGTAGCAGATTGCATGAACACTACTGTTTTAGTACCAAATAGATTGCCTTTAAACAAACATTTAGATGCTGACCTTCGAGGTGTCATTTAGGAAAATGCTATGTATTCTGTAGATGTGTCACCCTGTGCAATAATTAACTGGTTTCTAAGAACTGAACTGCTTTGCAGGTAGTCAAGCTCATTTTAGCATTAATTGGCCTAAAAATAGATCGAAAAATAGAGCAGCCTGGCTTTAGCATGTCACTCGATAGTAAATGTGAAACTCCAGTTCATTGACAAACATTAAAAGAAAAACACAATGAAAGACAATCTGCTCAGTTTACCCACATACACACACGTCGGTATGCATATGCAAGGATTATCAAATGCATGTATTATTATTTGAAGATGGTCTTACCTGTGATTGAGACAGATGCAATGCTGCTGTTTTAGGGATGCCAACTGTTTAGCACAGTGCATTCTCTGAAGTAAGCTAGCTGTCAGGCACCAGTGAATATTAAATAGCCACAGAGTTCCGTTAGAATGAGTGTTATGACGGTCCGCAGAGCCACAAGCAATAGATGTGTTCTGCGTACATTCCTCCAGAGGTCTGCTACTCAGTGATTGCAGCAGCCAAATATAGCTCACTGTAACCTTAAGGGCACACTGCAGAGTGGCGTTGGGAAAATCCGGAATAGATTTCAGATTTCAATGCCTGGGGATGGATTTGCAGCTTTTCCAGTGTTCATCCCAGATGCTCAACATTTATGTTGGAGTCAATTGATTGAAACAAATCTCTTCAAGGCATTCATGCAGCAATTTATAATCCAATCCTTATTGGTGCAAACATTTTCTGCCAGAAATGCCTAGCAAAATAGTCACTATATCTGACATGGATTACTTACTGAAGAAACTTACTGAGATATTTTGACATGATAAGGTGCTGTAAAAATGTAAATTCTTTAAGGGTGCATTAATAATACTGAATAGTATCAAATTACTTTCAAATAAGAAGGACTGAAGGGACTAGTCTGAACTGTGAAAGCCGGTAACGCCAAGTTTACAACAAACGACAAGTAGTGTATCTTTATACCAAAGACATTCAATGGCTAGAATTGGATGACTGCACAGTTCCACCAGAGTTGATATGTAATTGTCTAGCTGGCAAGAAGTTTGACAACTCACATGGACCTATGAGTAAAGACTTTTGATTCACCCAGTATATATATATATATCCCCGTTTTTTTTTGGTCAGCTGGGTGTCTTGACACATGGTGGAAACTTAAGGGTCTTGACAGGGTAGATAGTGTGAGACTGTTTTCTCTGTTTGGAGAATCTAAAATTAGGTGTCATACCCTTAGGATTAAAGGTCAGCCCTTTAGAACTGACTTGAGAAAAAATTTCACTGAGAGGCTAGTGAATTTATGGAAATTTCTACCCCAGAAGACAGTGGACGCTCAGTCACTGAACATATTCAAGACTGAGATCGATAGATTTTTAAAAACTAAAGGGATTAAGTGATATGGGGATAGGGCAGGTAAATGGAATTAGGTTAGAAGATCAGCCATGATGTTATTAAATGGCGGGGCAAGCTCAAGATGCTGAATGGCCTACTCCTGCTCCTATTTCTTATGTTCTTATGAAACCCACCACTATGCTTAAGAGCATCCAAACCAAGCTCAGATTTCCATGCATCCCACCTACACATGGAAATTCCAGAGATAGATTGTTGGATTGGAATGTGCAAACTTTCCTTGGAGGGACGCATCCTGCTTACCTAATTCTGGAAAGTATTAGGCACAGGTTGGCAAGAGCCAAGGCTTGGGAAACCCAGTGTGTGTGTTGGGGTAACTATTACTATCTGCTGGGGTAACAGATTTTAATTTGGGTTTGGAGTCTAAACTGCTAAAACTGCAACGAAGAGCAACTATTGTGCAGATGGTCTATTTGTCTATGAAAAGCACAGACGTGTGAAAGAGGTACTTGTAAACTCATGGCATTCCCATTCCCATTTGTAGCCTGCGGTCAATTCATATAAGTGATGCATCAATTGAGACTCAAATTAGCCACAACCAAGTCCAGTTTCTTGAGCAACTACAATTATTCCACAATTGGACAGGGATTTTGAGCTGTACTTACTCAGAGCAAATAACACAAGATTTCTAAAAATACAGTCAACATAAATTACATGTGTAAATAGGACAGATAGTGTTAGATAATACACTTTTGGAACAGGAAACTTCTGCACACAATGAAGGGATATCCATTTGACAAAGAAGGAAATGGAAAAGGAAGTGGGTGCGATTCTTGACTGTTCAAACTGGAAAATTCCTGTTAATATGATATTAACAAGGCTGGAAGTCATCTCAAAGCCACTTAAATTGAAATAAGTTATTTTAATCTTGCCTGGATCCTTGTTGAAGCCAAATTTGGAACATTATGGCATCTAATTAGAGGTTTTTTTAATGGCAATGTTTATACAAGCTAGAGCTCCTTTCAACCTCAAAAAGAGCTATCTGAGTGGACCTTGTTCAGGTGTGTGATTGGGAATCCAGATTTGCCAAGGCATCAGAATAAGAGGACACAGGTTAAAGTTTTGTAAAGGATAATTTCAGGACAGATACCAGGAAATATTTCTTTACCCAGAGGATAGAATGAGATAGCAGAAAGGGTTGTTGAGGCCAGGATGTTGGATTCCTTTAACAAACACAATGGGTATTCTGGAAAGATGAGATCAAATGGGTCGAAGGCTCTAAAACTATCTTGCACAGTGCTTCAGAGAAGAGTAAACTCCCAGATACTTGTGGACAGGTTATTTGCTCAGGTGGACATCGCAATATCTTCTCAAAGCATAGACTCATTATCTCTTGAGGAGCTGGAGTCAACAAGTGTAGTGACTTGCTTTGAGTCATGACTGTGTTCACATCATGATTCAAATTCCAGCTGATGTCTTATCTGAGGATAAGGACTTCACTTCACTTCCAAAAATAAACACAGCTGAGCTATTAAAAATGATGAGGGCAAAAAGTAAATGATTCACAAATCTTTGCCAAATAAAGCTCTGGCCTGAAAAATTGCACACATGGTAAAACACACTGTTAAGTGTGCACGGAGGCACTCCCCTGAGGGGTAAAGCAACAGTGGTTTGCAAGCGAAAAACTCTGTTCAGCTCCTGAATCAGACACTGGCTTTCGCAATACATTTTACAGCCATATTTTAACATAATCTGCAAGAGACAATTGCTGTCATTTGCATTTGCCTACACTGCATTTTACCAGTAAAGCGCTTCACAGAATATATTGTAATGTGAATTGACTGTATAATTTGTGGGCAAAATACCGCAGCCAATTGCACGCAGCAGAGTCCCATAAACCGTTGTGGATTGAGTGACCAAATTATTATTAGTATTATTGTTTTTGAATCGATTATTACTCCCTTGAAAAGCGAACCACACATCAACTAACAACCGAGTTCCTACTTACAGCTAGGTGAACAGAGGCGTGTGGAGTAAGGAAACTTGCGAAACTGTTTCACTCTGCCCAGGAATCCAACCCAGGTCCCCTCACTTGCGAAGCAAGTGCTGTAACCAATATGCTCCAGGACTCCACAAAGATGGCATTGCCATGTGGAAGGCAAACAGTTGCCTTGTGCAAGTTAGTTTGTTCTAGATTGAGTCCTTTTCTTCTGGATTTGGGGATCAGAGGTCTCAAATTTTGCATGATGTTGCCTTAAAACCATTGAGTTAAAAGGTAAGATTGTGGAAGATTTAAGAATACTGCTTAATTTGGAAGCTGGTTCATTTTAAGAACTGCAGAAAATTGGCTTCCAAATTCGGACCAAATTTAAGAAATCTTAAATCCAGACTAAAACTGGGAGAAATTTCCAGGCTTCAGATTTTTTTGCAGGTCAGTGCATCAATCACCTAGTCTGAATGAAGGAGCTTTTCTCATATGCCACTTACAATTTTGCCACTGTTAATGAATCTGCGGCACCATAGATAAGAGCTAAAGTCCTAACAGACATGGGAAGAGATCAAATGCTCATGCATCCACAGCCAACAAGTCTTTTATAATCCATGTACGTGAATTGATTTATCTCTTTGGAGAAAACCTTGTGCTTTGACCTTCAACTGATATGTGAAGTTACTTCAACTCTTGTTTCAAAACAACCATTTCAGTCTCTTGTGTGTGAAATCATACATTTTCACAGCTGTTGCGGAAATTAGATTTATTTTATGTCAGATTAATGTTATTACCAAACATGACTGGAAAGCGGAGGAAGGGAATAAGTGATCATATGAAAGGGGTTGTGGTAGTGGGGGCGGATTTTGATTTGAAACAAATTCTCAATGTGCTGATTTTATTTTTTGCCCCCCAATGGAATCAGAAACTACGTTCACCATCCATTTATATATTGACAAGCCTACTTAGAGCTTTTCAATCTTTGAACTAGTTGATGTCATCTACCACTCGCTGTAAAGGCACATCATATGTCAGAGGCCCCTTTGGAACAATGTTTTAACAATGGAAAACCTTGTTTTGTCAACAATCCCATCACTTTCAGGCAGTTGCATGTCTCAAAATCCTGCTTATGACGGGGGCTGTATTTCAAAACTATTTCTGCAATACAGTAAACCCATTGTTTCTGTGACTTTAAGTTGGCCAAGCTATTTTTTCATTGCTTGTTGGTTGTGTGATTCCCAGCTGCTACAATTAGATTTCTAATTTCTGCAGGATGTCTCGGCGTTCAATATTTTTGTTTTCTGGCAACAAATCAAGGCACTGCTCTGTGTTGTAATTTCTATTAATCACGAACGTGCTCCATAACTATGCTGCAGAGTTAGCTGGCCAAAGGTGTGGTTCACAGATTTTCCCAGAGGAAAATTGTCTGCAGTGAATGATGGCCTTTAACAACATGAGTGGGAACGACTTTGAAGGCAGGTTTGTGAGATTCACTGTGCTGTATCAATACGAGAGATTATTTGGGAGGAGTGGTATTTATGCAGTACAGCCTGCAACCAAAATACATTGTAAAAACAAGTAAGTAGTAATTGTGCCAAGAATCTCTCTGGACATAGGGTGAAGGATATTCAAAGTTTGATGATTGAAGAAACCGCTCATTATTATTATTATCGTTTTTAACTTGCTAAAGGTGTTATATTATAATATTTCTTGCATTTGACATCATTTGATATGCATTTGCTATATGTATTTGCCTTATCATGTCGCTGAGACGTCTCAAAGAACTTCATAGAATATACTGTAAAGTGAATTGAGTGTATATTTTGTATATAAATGCAAGTTATTGTGATCAGTTGTCTCTGAGTGGAGCTAGAAATACCATTCTTAGAGAAAATCAGATAGAGCTTTTAGGTGCAATGAAATTACAAGCTTTTAAGAAAGTAAATCTTATTATTGAAATAATATCCCTTGGGAAATGCATGTTGATTTTTTTCATTGCTCACATTTTGTGCTATGATTAATCTGTAAGTGCTGTAGGTATCTTCTTAGCTCAGTTGGTAACACTCTCACTTCTGAGTTGGAGGGTTATAGGTTCAAGCTCCATATCACATCTTTGAGGTGACAGTGCAGGCTGACACTGCAAGG